TCTGTCACACACACATGTATTCAATTTTGAAAGCTTGCTTGGAGTGTTATCCTCTCAATCTTAAGATTACCAAATTCCTGAGTTTCTTACCTGGTCTTTATTACCCCAAGCAAGCACCAGGTAACTCCTGTTTTCGTAAACCTTCCACTACTTCCACTAATACCCCCAAGGTGTTGTTTTCATTCACCTTTCTTTCTACACATACCATCCCTTTTCTCTCACTCTGGATTGAGGAGAAAGGGGGTGGGGTGCTGGTAGGGGGTGGTAGTGTTGGTAGGGGAAATTTTTACCTGATCCAGAAGTTGGTTACAGAACTAAAGGCAGGTAACTTTGGTGCTATTCTGAGCCTTCACAGATTATTTTGAAAGTTCTGAAGTTTTGAAACAGGTTTTTCCTATTCTTGTAAGAATTGATTTCCAAAACTTATTTAACAAGTATCCTGTTGATATAAAGCAAAATTATATGTTTTCCAATATATTTCATTGTGCACTTGTGTTGATTAGGTGGAAGAAATGAAAAGTACTTTCTCAAGGTTCATTCCCCTTTTGCAAGCATCTTAACTGTCCTTTCACTTGAAGTAAGAGACTCAAATAAACAGCCAGGAAAGGATCTATAATATAATTAGTGTTTAAAACATGGATAACCTTAAGGGTGTATGAGGAGTTTTCCTGTCAAAAAAAGAAAGTTGCTATTGGCAAAGACAAAAAAACAAACCTAGATGAACCTGAATGTAGATGATTGTCATATGAAGTATGACAGTTATCACCACAAGCTAGAAGGCAATTTGCATCTCTCTGTTTTGTAAATATTATTCCTACTTTGTAGGTTCAGAAGAACCGGCGATGAAGGGCACTTTAAAGTACAGATCTGGGTAAATTGGAAAGCCATAATCTCATCAGCACACAATCTTTAAGAGCCAAGACAAAACATTTACATTCTAGATTGCTCTAAAATTTGTCAAGTGAGTGACAATTGCGGAGAAAGAACGATTTTTGTTTCCTTCTCGAGAAGAAGTTGTAATTAAGTTTGTGGTTAATGGCTCATCATCACGCTCTCTTGGCAGTGAGGAAACCAAAATGAATAATTCATTCACTCTGTCTTTTATTCAGGTCACTCGCCCTAGATCTATCTGTGAGGAGGAGACTCATAGACTCTTTTCATTTCTATGTTTGCTAACATTTATTGATTTCACCTGATTTTGAGCAGTGATTACTGCTAATTTGATTATAAGATGAACAATTTTAGATTCTGTGTACATTTCTTTTGGAAAGAAATTATAAGGTACATGTAATGAGTTGAAAGTAAACCAAAGTACCTTTGTTATGTTAATGGTCATGTGATGACAGAAATTTCCAGAATTGGAAAACAGTAAAAATTAATTTGACAGGGAGGACTTTTCTTGTATAAAACTTAAGAAATCATTGAACAAATTCATAAGGAAAGTATGATAAATATCAGCTTTAAAAAACACTACCTGTTTACTTATCATTTTTATGGGTGTTTTTAGAAGTGCAACTCTTTGCAGGTTATTAAGGTGTAAGTGTGGATTGAGAAATTATGTGATAAAGACTATGACCATCGTGGGTTCTTTTTTTTTTTGTAGTGAGAAGAGAAATCTAAATACACGTAGATTTGATTTGAAAGGTAAATGAAAGCAATGATTCATCGGGCTTTGTTTCACTGGATCCAAGAGAGAGACGGGAGCCTTGTTTATAGGGACGGACGGACGCTGCTGGAGAGAGAGCAAAGTACGAGGGGAAGTAGACTGCCATTGTGATAGTGAGAGGAGTCCTTGAGACGTGTCTGAGTGATGCAGTGTGGGTTCGGAGGAAGAAACCAATTCTGGTTGGTGGGTTGGTGGCAGCATAGAGAGAGAGAGGGAGGGAGAGAGAGGGAGGGAGGGAGGGAGGGAGGGAGGGAGGGAGGGAGAGAGAGAGAGAGAGAGAGAGAGAGAGAGAAAGAGAGAGAGAGAGAGAGAGAGACACACACACACACACACACACACACACACAGAAAACGACAGAGAGAATGACAAAGAAAGACAGAGAGAGAGAGAGAGAGAGAGAATGACAGAGAGTGTGTGTGAGAGAGAGAGAGAGAGAGAGAGAGAGACAGACAGACAGAGAGACAGACAGAGATAGAGAGACAGAGACAGAGTGAGAAACAGAGAGAAGTAGAAGAAATCTTTCCATTCTATTTGTGAGCACATGTACACAATGTTCACTTTTTCACTATATTGATTAACACATTTGTTGTGATTTTGTATCAGCACCATTAATCAGTGAAATTCATCCTGAAGAGCTATCATTTTTTAAAGATCTAGAACCAAACGAATCCCAGAAGATGTAATTAGAGGTAGAGTAAGTCAAAGGGAGTAGACTAGACACTTGGTTTTTCCTTTTAAATGCCATTAATTCTATATTGAACCAATTTGATATTGTAATAGATCAAAGGGAATACAGCTAAGAATAAGAATCAAATAGCACAATCATACTCATAAAATAGAAAGAAAAGAATGGAAAATGCAGCAAATATGAAAGTCCCATAGATACTTAAAGAAAGGGAGACGAATGAAGAGAGTGGGAGGAAGGAAGGGAGAGAGAAAGAGAGAGAGAGGGAGGTGGCTGGGGTGTTTGGTTAAAATCACAAATGAATAATAATGAGATAACAATGGAAAGTAAAACACAATATATTAGTAAACAATGGACAACAGATGTGAGATTTGCTATTGGTCAGGAACTTACTGCTTGTAGATAATTTTGACGATCATGCATTACAATTTGTGATTGCTGTGCCTAATATTTCTACATTATTTGCTGTCAGTCTGACTGAATTGGCATTGTACATTTAGTTTATCTTGTCAAAATCTTTTTTAAAACAACTATTAAACATTTTAATGCCATATAATTAGCGAAAAAATTTGCATTGATGCAGGGCTTGACACTAGCAAGCGCCCATGACACATGAGTGCCCAAAATCTAAGATGTGACCCCCAGAATTTTGAAGTTATTACATAGGGCACTTTCATACAGGCTGTCTAAAGTTCAGTTGGTACCCCCATTCCAAAAAATATTCATGTGGAGCCCTGATTAATGCCATAACAAGTTTTGTAGTATGGTTTTTATCTCAAACATGTAAGAAACCACTTACTTGTTTATATTGTGTTGAACATGACCCAGCTCATATTTGTTTTTAATGGATCCGTGATGGGTTTAGACAATAATATTCATGGATAGGAAGTGATTTAGAAGAGCATAATGAATACTTGTATAAAATTTAATTGCAGTAATTACATTTAATGAGCGTCTGAACCCTCTTTACTTTTCCAATGAATTCTTTTTAGACAAATTCATGAAGTGGGTGAATGGGGGATTTAGAGGAATCAAAATAAGGGTTTTTCGCTGCAAGTCCGCCTAAGCTTTTGTGTGTGCCAGCAGCAGGATTTGGAATGTATTTGTTCTGAAAACATGAGAGCCCTTACACTTTGTGAGTGTATGCCACGCTCTGTGAGAACCAATGAAACTATCATAGATCGTTCATCTTTATACTGGTATTCGGATGAAAATCCATGTGATTTTTCTCCATAATTTGTCATTATTCCTATGTTTTGCATGGCAGACTGCCCATTCATGGAGATATAATACCTGCATTGACCTGTAGTTGTACATTCAAGGGGTTGAGTATTTTGCCTCGGGTTATATACAAAATCCTGGATTTATGCTGCAATCATAATTATAAAACCTTTTGGTCAGTCAGGAATTCCATTACTTTTACAAGCCTATTGCCTGTCTGATTACCGAGATATTTATGATTGGAAATTAAGATTTCAATAACCGCTTTCGTAACGTTTTTTTATAACACTACAGTGTATTGAGGGAAATGAGTATGGTGAAAACGGTCACTCAAAGATTTTACTATTTTGAGGCACTTTATGATCATTTTAAAGCGCATTTTTTGTTAAAGGTAAAGACCAGTTATGGTCATGCGATTGCATTGTGAAAGAAACGTTGTGGAATCGATCAGAAAAGGTTGATCATCTAGCATCTAGCATCTGCAAGGTTCTGGAATCATCAAAATGATAAGAAATTTGGCCCATTCTTCGTAAAGTTACAAGCACTATACACAGAAAGATGTATATGGGACTACCCTATATCTCTCACAGACCATGAGAGAAACAAATTTACCAAATATATGAATTAGTAGGCGGTTTCCTGGCAAATTTTTTATCATCATGTATTAGTCAAAACATATTCTTTCACATGATTGGTAATGAGAGCTTCCATTTCATTTTTTGAAATTAGGGCGTTTCCAATACTGGTCTTTACCTTTAAGGGCTTCAATATTACATCATATCACAGACACTTGATAACACATAGGGCCATGCATCTCAGATTTAACATTGTCAAACAATGCCTTGAAAGAGAAATTGCAGTGAAAAGGCAGAGATTCTTTGTTGTGTGGTGATGAAGGTAGTTTGTTCATTGTGTGTGTTTGAATGAGAAGTGTGCTGCTTAGAATCAGGATGAGGAAGATGAAAGAGGAATGGATGTTGAAACCATGAGAATGATAAGATACAGGCTTCCAAATATGCATGGTTGGTATTTTAATGAGCAAATTTATGCTGGATATGATGAAAATAGAAAGTACATTGAACATGTATGTGAAAAGTGTGTAAAAACATAAAGAAATGGTGTTTGTCATAATAAATGTTATTCTAATTGTTTTAACAACGTGATTATCATTATTAGAAAGTGCCATCATTAAATTTGATTTGTATGTCATTTCTATAATGACAGAGCGAATGTCCTCTAATATTGTAGTTCATACATGGCAGAAAATGAAAAGTAGAATTAAGTTCTGGTTAATTAGTTCACATTTCATTTTTGCATTTTGGGTGCACTACAAAGAAAATTGATTTTTAAAAGGGAAATGGCACCTTTTGAATTGTATTTTAAGGTAGCTGCTATGAAATAATTGATTTTGATTTTCTTTCATTGCAGAACATGGGCGGTCAAATAGGAGGCAATGACTTGTCCATAACCAGTCCCAGTGGTTCGGTTTCTCCGCACAACAAACCGGGCTCACCTTATATGTATAACCGCAGGCGGTCTTCACTCATGCCCGACCCTCCTTCCTTACTACGTAAGTATTTTATTCTCATTGAACGAAAAAATATATATGATCAAGAAGATTATGATGAGGATAATTCATCCATCTATCTTGTAGTGTTTATTAAATTCAAGTTTATTCAAATACAAAGTAGATATATTAAATTTGATAATTGCTTTACAGGTAATTTCTCCAATTTAAGAAATTATCAAGGGTAGTTTTTATGGTGGAAATTATCTTAACTAGTTAAACAGATCAAAACAATTCATAAACCCTCTCTTTGATGCACAAATTAATTCAACATAATTGATGCCGGATAAACTCTTTGATAGTTGGGGGCTACCAGGATGTAGCTGAAACCACCCACCTAAAATTCAATATGTGAGGGCCAGCCATTATGCACCTATGATGGAGCATACATTTTATCAGAGAGCATCTAGGTCTTTCTCAGGAATCTCATTCCTTTGACACTTGAATAATTCATCATAGATGATAGTGGGATAAGACCTATACTTTGCACTTCCCAGGGAGATGCCATTTCATGATAATAAAACGAGATTTAGATGTACAAATTATGGCCATACAACAAGTAGAAATCATTCAAGAGAGAGGGAGAGGGGGAGAGAGAGAGAGAGAGAGAGAGAGATTTTTGATGGAGATTTCCAGTAATAGAGGCCATTTATAAAGAGTGATTGATCCTAAACGCATAGCGTAGGATGAAGATAAAGGAAAAGTACGGCGAACAGGTGCATTTGAATAATCAACGTTTCCCCCTAACTGCTACCACAGAGTCGTTAAGAATGATGCTATACAGCATGGACTGTTCAATATTTAATATATTCAAGGATGGGCACAAAAGCTGAATTCTTTGGGCTTTGGCAAGCTGAAAGACAAATCAATTTTTTTTGCACATCTATGAAGAAGAATTTGTTTTATGTGCTGCAAGATATTTCTAAAAGCATAAGTGCTTGAAAGCAACCACCAAGTGTTGCTAGTTTGATTAATCAACACATAAAAGGAAAATAAAATCTCTAAAATGGTTTATGAGTGTTCCTGCATCTTTAACAAGAAAATACTAGTATTTAAATGAAAAAAGTATCATTTTTTATTGTTGCTTTTGTAAAGGGAATGGTAAGGATTATGGATGGATTTTAAACCAAGTTTTTTTTGTAGGTTCTGAGTAACTGTTATTTTGACGTCATGAAATTTATCAGCGATGAAAATGTGCAAGAACAAAAAAGGAAAAATTCATCCATCTATCCAGCCAGCTAGCCAAGAACAATGACTTGATTGTCTGTACTGTAACTATAGAGGGCACTGTTCAAGAAAGGATGATCAGCAACAAACTTTGTCATCCTGTCTGCTCAGTCTTTGCAAATCAAATTATTACTTATTTCAGCCAGCCAAACTCAAGTTTGTTCTCCTTCTTTTGGGTTTTCTTTTTTTCAGCGCACAAGAGAAGGAAAGCTCCCGGAATGTCGGTAAGTGCATTTTCCAAATGTTTGAGATCGCTCCTCGGGTAATATATTGGTGGATGTAGTGGCATTAGATGCATCAATGTGTATATTTAGCGCTGTGTGTTTTGTGTTGTTTATAAGAGCTCTGTTAAGCTGAAGAGCGAGAGAGAGTTTACCAGTGATGACAGTGTCGTAGTGTACAGGGCAGTAAATCTTTCATGTTTATATCTCCTAAAACGTTATATTGTTATCTCAATATCATGCTAAACGCCCGTGGCTCACTGTAGCTGTGTTGACATGTTAAAAACACTCTAGTGATAGGACGATTAGCTTTCACCTTGGTGTTATCAATTATTGATTGATTTACCTAGGAAAGATACTTGATATTAAAAATATGTCTTTGATATCTGCATGCATTGATTTGAATCCTCAACCCCACCCCCCCCCCAACCTTTCCATTAGCCGTGCATTGTTTTTGAAAACTTGATCAGTCGGTCAGACTTGCGTAGTGGAGGAATAATTGATTGTTGCTTGGTCAGGCTGCTCAGGCGGGCAGGAAGGAAGGATGAAGGCTTATTGCGATTGAATAGGTGTAGTGTTTAGTCCCGGTGGGATGAAATGTAGTAGGGTAAGAGATAATGGGATGAGACGAGGTTTGTGGAATGTAAGGATCGTACCCTGATGATGAACTCACTCACACTCTCCACACACACGCACACACTCACACACAACATTCTAGCCTAGTTTCAGCCTCTTTGTGCAGTTTCTTGGTCTGCATGTCAATGTCTTGGATTCAAGAAATATCTTTCACATATCGCTGGAAACTCTTAGTTTAAGGTAATTCCTGGCTTCTTTTGACTTGTAATTGCCTAAGTATTAAAGAAATTGTGTTATTGCGTATTCATCATTTCTAGTATCATGTATGCTAGATTATCTACACTAATAGGTTTACTTGATACAGATATTAAAGAGGAACTTGCAAGTTACGTCACTGTGTTGCCAATTTGTGTTTCACTGATGACAGCTTACACAAATTCATAACTTTCCTATTTTTAATCGGATATTGCTCAACTTTCACTAATTTGTTTCTCTCATTTTTCTGCTTTTATTAAAAAAAACCTTAATATCAGGATGGACTTCCCATTTAAAGAAGTTTGGCACAAGCTTTATGTGGAAAAAGAACAAAGATATTTGCAATTCAATTTATTGTGATCAAACTCCACATATAAAAAATAGCCCTGAAAAATGTAGAACGATAAATGATACAAAATAAACATTTTATGAACCTTTTTATCACTAATAATGGTATTGTAGTTTTTAAAAGATGATTGGAAAAAGAGAATATTGTTTTATAAAAGAGATATAACTGCATGAGGTCCCCCCCCCCCCCAATTCTTAAGTAGGCATCTTAATCATTCAATCAGAGAAAAAGACAAACTATATGTAATAAGGACGAGATGTCCACCTCCCAAAAAAAAATTGATTCTCAGTTGAAGCTTGTTGCACAAATACATGAATATTACTTTAATTTTCACATGGTTGTAAAAAGTAGTTGAACTAGATTTGACTCGCAACCAGAATTTAAAAAAATAAAAAATTTAACAAAAAATTATCAATTTATACTAAGGAAAATAATAAATTGGTTTTCAATATAGGAATGATAGAAATTAAACTTCTGCATGAGTACAAACAACTTTAAAATCATAAATATCAATAAAGCAATAAGAGGAATTTCAAATAGTACCATAGCTTCATTTCACCTCAGTGACTTAGGCGCCAACATGTATTTCAAAAGTTAGATGCTACCCTGAAGAAAAATATGACAATTTAGCAAAGTTTTGATTTTAATTATGCAGTGTGACATGGACTTATAATGAGGGTGTATTCAAAGAACTATCACGATGTTGACTGTATACAACATTGATAGTGGAATCAGGAGAGAGAATGCAACTCTCATTATAGCACCGGTGCTCAGGTGCTGTTTTTTTCCTAATTGGTAACGACAGACCCTGTGTAATTAAATGTTGGGTTACAAATTTCTCTCTCTCCCTCTCTCTATCCAATTAACTTGCTATGACGATTTCTTCCTTGCTTTGATCAGAAGCCAATCCTGGCGTCATGATTGCTTTTGGCCGGCCGGCCAGCAAAGAACAAATTGTTTGATACAGTTTGCTAAGGTGGCCTTTGTGCGAGAAAAAAAAAGTAGGCAAAGTTTTCCACTGTTTTTATATTGTTGCTTTGACTTGTTTTTGCATATTGTGTATTCTTGAGATCAGATATGTGTAGATTTTGTGCCAGCCAGTCTTACAGGAGAATAAAGAAATAACGAAAAGGATATAGTGGAAGGAGGAGTTTGTGGTTGTTGGATAAATTTCATTTTCCCTTTATACTATCACTTCTGACTGCATAATATTGACTTTATCACCACTGATTTGGCAGACTTTCTGTGTACATATGACAGGCAAAGTACTTCCCATATGTACACTCTTAAAATTGTTTTATTGAATCTAGTCTGCATGGATTTGATTTCCACTTGTAATTGTACCGATTCAAAAAAGTATCCCTGCAGATTTCGGAGACAGGATAGATGTGGGTATTATCGAATATCCAAATTAAACGAGGCCAACAAGTAAATTTGAACCTTTGTTCACAAATGTGATGGTACTTTGAGAAGCTGAGGGGGTTTGAGGTTATGTAACAACCCTCTGAGAGGAAACCTAGTAATGTTGCATTACTAATCATCATACACTACCCACCAGCTACATTATCAAATCAATTCGTCAGTAATGTATAGCTGCTACTAAAAATAAAGGAGAGCAGGGATTATCTAAGAGAAAAGTAGTGATTGGCTTGTTGTACCACACCAGAACTTTCTTGACTGCAAGCGGATGAAAGCAACCGTAGATATCAGTCTATCAACTGCCTTTTAGAGCAAGTGGATTGATTGTTCCTTGTGTAGTGTGTTTTTCGATCATCTTTGGATCATGTGGTGTGGAAATAGTTACTACTCTCACTCAGAGTTGGACCAACCAATGTGTATATCATTACAGCAGAATCCGGCAATGTCTGTAAGTATGACAGTTTGATATGACTGCTCAGATTTCAGATCAAAGAAGAAGATATTTCATAATTTGTCTCATAGTATACTGAGAGAGCAGTACAATGATGAATATTTCAATTTTCAATCTGGACAGCAAAACTTTGAGAAGTTATTTTTCTTTATTTAATTCAAATTCTGCTCTCAACCGCTAGTTTTACTGCTTCAATTCAAACTATTCAACTGCACTTTTAAAACATGGATATAAGTACATACATATATAAGTATGTTAGTGGCGAAAATGGTCTTGATTCATTTGATATCTGTCGGGCGAAATGTCACTATCTACCTTTAGAATGTAGCAGCGCACATCAATAAAAGATAATTGTTTATAAATCAATCCTCCTGATTGGAGTAAAAACAATATAAAGAATTTAACAAAATCATTTTGCTATTCCAAATGGATCATTTTGCTATTCCAAATGGATCATTTGAGTTTCAACCAAGTTTGTATTACATGAAATATTCTATCAATTTAAACATTTGAAAAATGTAATTCCCACTAACATTGGATACATATTATTAAAAGGAGGTGTATGCTACTTACCCATACCGGTTCGCACTTTGAAGACTTGTGAGAGTGTTGATACAGGCCCACTGCTGATGGATGCTCAACCAGCTGTGTTTGGGTTCTTCCTTGCTGAAGATGGCCTGGATAATTCTCTCTCCTTCTCACTTTCTCTCTTTCACACACACTCTCTCTCTCTCTTCCCATCTGTCTCTCTGAGGAGGGTATTCCCCCTATGCTCGTTCGTGTTTTGATTCTGTATCACAACATTGGGGGGTAGGGCACCATTGATGGTGCACCTGTGACCGAGTCTCACTCCTTGCCGTCCATGTGTGAGTCCCACCTGCTTGCCCGACTGCATTACCTGACTGTAGTATCACATGCTATGCCAACCCCTCTAAGAGACGATCCCTCCCGATTGCCAATGAGCAGTATACTACGATTCCACCTGTTTCATTCACTGCTCAAATGTTAACCAGGCTTTGAGCAAAAATTCAATGTTTCCCATGCTGTTCAGAGGATGGGAAGTTGTACAAAATGTCAAACACCATAATAGAAGTTAAACATAAATAGAAATGAAATAATATTAATAATAATGATAATAATAATAATAATAATAATAAAGGAAGCAGATATTGATTACTGATCTTCAATGTGTCACTTATTTTCTTTCCAGAAAAATAAGAAAACAGTTATACAAAAATCAATAAAAATAGTAATCATGATAATAATAATAAGAACTGTGTAAACGAAATGTCCCATAATGGCAAGTTTTAGATCAATAGGATGAGTTATGCAATCTTATTCATCTTTTAGGTGTAGGTTTCTTGAAAAAAGTAATTTACTTGAAATCAATCAGTCATCAATCATTGACATGATATTTATTGTGATTTCTTTATTTACTACTTAATTGATTGTAAGTTAAGCATGGAAGAAAGAACAACTATTTAATTTGTTTAGCCTTGTATCTTTCAATTTTCAGTTAAGTGGAATGAAATATGACTAAAAAACAAAATGATAGGGCTTACTGGTGATGCTCTTGTGCTCTTTTTTAAATACCCAGATGATTAATAAAGAGATCATCTGGTTCCCGTACTTGACAATGTGTTATAAGACATTTACATCTAGATTTAATAATAAGGAGAAATAATAAACAGAAACCAAAATTGTGTGAAAAGATAGTTTTACCCGTAACCACACTTAGTGTTTTCAATAATGTGATGCCCATACAGAGTTATCCCATTTTTTTTATGGCATCCCCTACTTAGAAAATCAATAAAGAAAATTCAAATCTGTGAAATTTAAAAGTTCTTCCTGTTTAGTCTTTTAGTCACTAACTATAAAATGAGTTCTGTGAATTGCATGTCTAGACACATGTATATGTTTAGAATATGAGCTTGAAGAAGAAATAAAGGAGGATGCTTTAGAGAGAAGGAAAATTTATAACTTGGTATTTGCTCAAGTTCTTATGGAAGTTACACAAAGTTATAAGCAGACGTCTTTGGAAGAAAAAAACACCTTTATGTTAGCTATAAGAATATCGACTCTCAAGACAAATGCTCATCAGGACGATTGTCCAGGCTAGGTTACTTTTTCTTGACCAATGAGGGAGAATTGTTTGTTTGGTCAGACCGCATGTGACATATCAATCTTTATTTAACTCTCAGACTGGCGCAACAGATTCACAGGCGACTTACTAGATTAGTCGGATAGTTCATTGCCCTTGTACTGGCGCACACTTAATTGTCTTTCCCCCTCTCCTCGCCATGTAGGACCCTTCTCCGTGAGAGAGCTAGCTAGCTGGCTGTATGTTCACTATGATTCATTGTGAATGATCTAGTAAAGCAATTAGATGATTTAAAGGGAATGTTATGACATGATTAATAGATAAAATATGAATGAAGTGTTCATGTCCAGATTGGCTTCTTTTGTGATGATATCTTCTTTCTTGAAGTTCCCTTGTGAGTTGGAAAGCAATTGGCTTTCATTGGAGAAAAGATTATCAAAAGGAAACCAAAGTTGGGATTATGGATTTATTGAGCGTTTGCCATAAGCTATTTGGAGTCTTCATCTCAAGGTTGTTGAATTTTATTAATAAATTGAATCTGGTTATGAGAGTGATGATGAAGATCAGGACTAGATTTGACAATACATATAGCCATGCAAGTCAATTTTACTCAAAGTTGCAGTCGCAACATTGCAACTTTGAAATACAGAAATAGACAAAATGCTGTGTTGTAGTATTGCTTTTCCGATAGTTACAACCCAGATACAAGAAACATCAGTTTTCTTCTCCAGGGTGTGGTATTCTAGATGCACAATTTTGCTTTTATAAACCCATGGTTGTTTTCCGGTTACATGTTCCCTATGTAAAGCCCCATGTTGCTGTTGCATTGCTAGAGGCATGGATGACAGCTTCATGCAACCTTCTCTCCCGTTTAGAACCTTTGCCTGCACTCTGGCCGCTAGTGTGAAATGCCTGGTGCCAGTCAATTATACCAATTTCTCCATCCCCCCTCCATAACGATCGATTGCGAGAAGCTGGCAAGGGGGAGAGGAGGCAGAGATTCAATTTTGGATGGCCTTTTTGTTGCGGGCGGGCGATTGTTTTGCATGCGTAACGAGATATTAGAAATGGAAGGAGGATCTGCGGATTTGACAAGTGTCTCTGGTGTGGTGCATACCCCCAGGCCGCTCCCATCGAGCTACGGCGGCTTTGCTCCTACTCACCAACGCTTCGGCTTTTTAGATGGGAGAATAGAGAAGTGACAAAGTGCTTGAGGTGGTTGCCAAATTGTTGCCTCATCCACATCAAACCCAAATCAATTAGAATGAGGAACAGGGGGACGAGGAAGGGGGCAGTGAGATGGAAATAGTGTCTAGCAGGTTATCTTAGGAACCTATCATTTTACACACATCATTCATGAGGGATAAAAACTATCATTATGTTCAACCACCATGAAAGATGACTTGTAGGGTGTCAATATCTCTACAAACAGCGAGAGAAGGCCGGCTGATGGTTTGCAGCAACTCCTCAAAAGAAAATCAGAGAACCAGCACCCTTCCCCCCCCCCCCCAAAAAAAAAGGAACAAATGAAGAAATAAATACAAGCTAATAAACAAAAACATAAATGAGTACATGTATATTGACTTGCATAAACACAAATATCACCTTTTTTGCAATTGTCAAGTAATTCAGTATTCACTACTAGATGTTTTATACATTTATGCATTTTATATATTAATTTCATTCTTTAATACAATTCTGTAAATCCATTGTAATAAGTGAGCAAACGTGATAGTTCATAAATTTCAAACAAGGATTACTAATAAACTTAATTTCCCCCAAAATAAGATTTTGGGTAAAGAAAGAAGAATTAATGTCGTTGTAAATGGTTAAAATAATGATAATTAATTAGTTGATATCATTGGTTCTGTTACACAGCTGAGCCCACTTTGTAATACGAAGGACAGAAGCAGAAATTGGTCATTGCCCAACCCACCAAAAAATTAATTGGAGAGACATGAGTAATGAGTAAATGGAAGGCAGAAAGTGGTGCAGGAGTGTTGAAAAGAGAGGTGTATCTTTAGATCTAATATTAAATTGGCCTAATACTCGTACAATTTCTAAAGAGTAAAGGTTTTTGTTTAGAGTATATACATGTAGATGCATAGTTACAGATATGGGGAGAGCCAGCTAGTCAGCTAGGTAGGTGGATGGATGGATAGATTTGTATAGAGAGATGGAAAGAGATAGAGAGAGTGAGAGATTACAAAATATGATTATATCAAGCTATTTGATACAATTTCATATTGTGTATCAAAGTTTTTCCTTAGACTCAGTCACTCAGCCTGGGTTATCTTGCGTTTAAGATTCAATGGGTTAGAATTTTCAGTAGTTTAAAAGAAGAACTTTTTTACATAGCTTTGTATGGTCTTCATACTGTAAATGAATGACGAACAAAATTCAGGGAAAATGTACTTTTAATAATACATTATCAAAGATAAAAAGTGAGGAGTGAAAGGGATTGGATTGTGTCAAGTTTGAAATGGTATTTCATATGATAGAGTGAAATGCTGGACTGAGAAAGGTGCCACCATGATATCGTAAGCTGAATTAATTTTAGGTGTGCCTGATCTGTAGGTTTATAAGAGCCTCGGGCCCAAATGCAGTGAAAAATAAGAAATTGCATTTTTATGAGGAGAAGCACGTTCCTTGCTCTTACTTTAGCTCCTCTTTCTTTCTCTCTCTCTCTCTCTCTCTCTCTTCTTCAAGCTCTTTCTCTTTTACCATCTTTCTGTGAAATCAAATCAATAGGAGTCATCTTATTGGCCAACGTGTATCGGGGAAGAGTTGCAGGTTTAATACGGGGCTCAGATTTTTGAAATTCTTGTGCAGTCATCGGGGGTCGATGGCACACGCTCCCTGTGCTCAAATTTGTTCTAATTTCTGCAATACAGTAATCAATCAGTTTATTTGATTAGTGGAAGATGCTGCACGTTTGAGGCAAGATGAGACTCACTGATGTAGCTGTTTGTATTCACAGCACTACTCAACCTGTAAAAAGTGCATCGATAAATAATCTTTTTCTTTTTTGGGGTACAAGTTCTGCTCATTTCTCCTTATTTCATCATTCTTCCTTCCCTGTACTTGCACACATTATTCTCTGTACTTGTTTATATCCGGAAAACGTATTCCTATCAGTTTTAGTGGTGAAGTTTAAGCCAGAAAAGCTGTGAAAATTGAATGACTGAGGATGTAACTTTAATAAATATATCTTCACATATATCTTGAAACTCTTGATTTGTGTTTCTTTCTATTCTGTGTTATTTTACAGGAAAAATAGGTGAAAAATCGTATTTTGTATGAAATCTTTGTTTGAAATGGGTGTTTGGGGAAAAAATGGAATTCTCAAAATATCTTTTTGAATTCATGTGTACTGAATAAGCTCATCCATAAGCCTTGTACAAGTGTTTACATTGTCATTTATTCTTTTAATCTAAGAAATGCAACCTTTCTTAAGTGCATTTCGCCCGCCCCTCCCCATATTATACTTTTCTGGATTTCTTGAAGATTTCTGTTGCTTTCTATATATTAAATTTTTGTATTTTTACTCCCCCTCTCTCTTTCTCTCTCTCTCTCTCTCTCTTGTTCTGCTAGCAGGTGTATTCTCCAGGTGCAGAAGACTATCATTCAGACCCTAATTATTCATCACCTAAACCTCCAGGCATGTATCCAGAATATTTCATGGGTGAGTACCTTTGACCTTGAATATTGCTTACCATTTCATATAAATAGATTATATGATTAAATATATTTGTTTTGTTTTGAGAACAAAAAAGAATGTGTACTCGTGCTCTGCTTAAACATCTGTACACAAAATGAGGTGGTTTTCGATGGTGAAATGTTTAATGTTTAGTTGTCAGTGAATTCTGCAGTTGGTTATGTTTTTTGTTTTAGCTAAAGTTGGACAAAACTTAAAGATGTGAGAGAAGAAAAGAAGTCTGGAAGTGAAGTTGGCCCTGGATTTCCTAGAAAATGCCAATCAAAGCAAACCGTAGTGTAAAATGTAAGAGCACCCTGCTATAAAACCCTGACATATTTGTTAAAGAGAGGAAGAACACACGCCATGAAGACAACAAACTAGCTCATCAAAATACATGTGATAATGATAAAGAGAGAGACGCACTAACGGCATGAAAGTGATCCGCTCCTATGTGACGGAGCCGAAACAAAAACCAGCTCCCGGGACAGAGTCGAGGATCAAACGAGGCAGGTGTTTGGAAGAAATCGCCCCGCGGGACAATTTATTCAGACCCGAGAACGAGCACGAAAATGACTACTTGTTGCTGGAGTGCTCGCCATGGGATGAAGTTTCCAATCGATGGAATTCGGTTCTTGATTTCAACCAATTTTCATGCGGAGAAGGAACTAGGGTAGGGGATGAAGAGAGATGAAGATGTTTAAACGGATGTGGAGTGGATCTTTATTGGTTTGCGGGAAATTCTGAGTAATATTTTGATTGACAATGCTGTTAGGCATCGAGTATTATTGACATATCATATCTCAGAGATTTGCTCTTGTATTTCAAGGCCTTCTTTCCAAGCTAGTAATTGATAATAGAATATTGAAAGTAAAATCAAGGATAAATGGTTTTCTTCACTATCCTTTTCAAGAAAGACCTTTTTGGTTGGTTTTCCTTTGGGTATTATGAGATAAATTTTAATAAGTTGGAAAGATTGGAGATTATTTCAGAAGTGCCGTGAATAAAAGCGGAATATTTTTTAAAAGTTTTTTCTGACTAGCCTTTTTAGTCAGTGGGTCATTACTTTTGTTGATAGATGCAAAGTATCTGGTAAAGAGATTCTGTTTCCATGGTTATGTATAGCAAACAGATGGTAAGTTACTTGCCTCGTATGAGCTGCTGATGCTGCTGCTGTGCCCTTTGAAAGGCGCTAAGGCCTGTGACAATACCGGGGATTGAGGGGAGTGGGAAGCGGTCCCTAGGAACACCAAAACAAGGCTTTATTGTCTGGAAAGCACATCCATATTTCCATTCTTCTCTCAAGTGACATGCAGAGAGAGATTTTGCGAAATTATGGAATACTTTGGTAATGAATTTCACAGATCATGGGATATTCTGATTTGAAGAGTAAGAAAGGATGTGTCACCAAGTATGAAACATGGGCTTATGGATAGCATAATAAAGACCAATCAGTGTTTAATGAACAGAGACTCTTGTTGTTTTTGTCTTTCTTAGTTACCAAAGATAAATTGCTAAATATTTGTCTCCACAAGTTACATATATATAAGCTTTTATTTATTGAAATGATAAATTGTTTATTTAATTATTATGCTTTTGACGTTTTATAAACACTTTCTGGTATTCAATATGTAATGTCATGATCAATATGGGTGATTATTCATGATTGTCTCTTGTTCTTTGTTTTCTCCTAGAAGGCTCCCACTCGCAGGGCCACTCCCAGGGCCACCCCCAGGGCCACTCCCACAGTAGTACAAATCCATGGAGCAGCAATGGCATGGCGCCGACGTCCACTAGCTTCCATTCCTTACATAACTCCAGTTCATATTCTCAGGCAGGGGAATACCCTACACATGAACCTATGGTAAGTTTGAAGAAAAACAATTTACTGGGATCCGTTTCACAAAGCTTTTTTTCAATGACAAATGACAAAACCAGTGACAAACCAGCTGATAGCCAATCAGGAGCATGGATTTCAGTAGCTTTAACAAAAACTGTCATTTGCCACTGATAACAAGTTTTGTTAAACGCCCCCCCCCCCCTCCCAGAATTTGAGATCTTACTCCCATCCTAGGCAGGGTATACTGTACATTACTCTACAATTGTCACTTTAACATTAAAGTACACATATATCCAAGGAATTGGAAGGAAAAAAAAGTTGATGAAATTGATTACATGTACATGGGGCACGTAAAGTTGCCACAAAAAGGACCCTTTTTTCCCCCTTCTCTTTTTCCTTGATTTTTTAATCTTTTCATAATTTAGATGGAGGTGGTTAAGTTACTCATAGCAGGAGTATTTCATGTTTCATTTTATAAGAGGTCATTATGACCCCCATTGATACTGTGACTCCACTCAGCTCTCATTAACTCTTCATTGCTCCCACATCCTGCCGACTGACTGACCGACCGACCCGTCTAACCAAACCTACTCTCTCTGTCTTCAGTGTTCCCACGATCCTCACACTATTAAAGCACCTCACTCCTGGCTCTGCACTTCACCTCCAGTCTCTAACCCCAGACCTTGTTCGCTCCTTTGAAGTAAAAAGTTTAAGGGGCCCTTAAGCAAATTATACCCTCCCCTAAATGGGCTGGATCCTGAAAAGAGCCCCCCCCAAAAAAAAAAAAAAAATAAATAAATAAAAAAAAAAAAAAAAAAATAAATAAATAAAAAAATAAAAAAATAAAAAAATAAAATAAAATAAATAAATAAATAAATAATAATAATGATTATAATTTTTAAAAAATATTTAAAAAAAAGAAAACTATCAATAAGTTGGCTATCTAAACAATCAAATATTCATTTTAATATATGAAGTAATACTTTTGAATGATGTCAGTCATTGTTCAAGTTCTGAAATACTTTTTTGGTGAAACGACTTGTCTAGGGACTGGAACTTCAGACTAGCATTCCTGTTCGTGCTAATCCTAACCTCAATGACCTCTATGGGGTCAAAGCTTCCTCTCTCCTCTCTCCTCTCTCTCTCTTTCTCTCTCTCTCTCTCTCTTTCTTTCTCTCCTCTCTCTCTCCGACACCCTCCTCTGTCTGTGTGTGTTTGTGTATCTCTCTCTCTCTCTCTCTGTCCGTCCCTCTCCCCATCGCCCCCCCCTATTCCCCTTCCCCCCCATTCTCTCGACCCTATTCTCTCTGACAACCTCCCCTCTGTCTCTCTGACATCCTCCCTCTCTGTCTCTCTGTCCTTCCCTCTCCCCATCACCCCGCCCCCCTACCATTCTCCCCCCCCCCCCCCCCATTTTCTCTACCCAATTCTCTCTCTCTCTCTCTCTCTTGCTTTTGGGGTCTCGCTCATTTCTTTTTTCCCCCACTACGTTTGTGCTGATGGGATGGTAAATAAATTACCATTGGCCATGAGGGAATACCAAACTCTATGAAATTATAAGCCCAAGCTCTTACGTGGCTACAAACTTTTACAGCATCAACTTGAATCTTACTTGAGCCACATGCATTGTTTCCTTTTAGGCTTTCGAGATCGTGAGTGAGCGTGCTTGGATGTTAAAGATATGTGTCCATGTATTCATATCACTTTAACCTAGAACTTTGAAGAGGTTTCCAGGAAATGTTGCTAATTTTATATCAGTATTTTTGTTACAAATTTGATGAGAAATCTAGAACGATATTGCTCTAACCTTGTTCAATTGATCCCCTGTCCTGCCAAAGTGTATGTTACAAGTGTTTTTAAATACGGGTATCGGTAGTCAAGGTCATAGAAGAGATCAATATATACTAGAAGGGGCCAACATGGACTATTAAAAACAAAAATCAGATTTGTTAAATTTAGAAATTACTTTTCTGTTTTAGATTCATAATGAATTTATCTTATGATTTACTGGTGATAATGCGGTATAGTCGCCTCATCTGAACTCATAAAACATGGTGTTACATGAAAAGTGGATTTAATTATAATTGGGAAACATTTTTTTGTTTTCATAGAACAAAGAAGGACAAACAAAGAAATGTAACAAGCAAAATAACTGGAAGTAGAGTTCAAGTTTAAGTTCAAGTTCAAGTTCAAGTTCAATTTATTTCTCCACAATTGCAAAACATAGGGAGATACATAAAATAAAGAACATACATACAATACAATAATAGAACATGTACATCATATATAAAACGACTCCAGTTGGAGCAATGTATGTTTTAAAAAGAAACAAAATCAGCAAATGTGGAGATAGACTGAACTAAAAGAAAAAGGCTCAAATTGAGAGGATGAGAGAGCTGGCAGGTAACACTGGTCAGACATGCTAGGAGGAAGGGTAAAATTTACATAATCAACAAGAGGAGGAAGGTTCCGTTTGGCAGACCACCAGGCTGCCAATTATTACCAGTTATTCCCTCAGTGTCACTATTCAAATAGAGTTAGCGCCAGTGCTTTACATTCTAAATCAATTATCAAACATAACCATTTTCAAACTCTTGTCAGGGGGCTGGAAAGTTTCCATTTTTTTTTGGTAACAACCCCCAGGTATGACGACATAGGATGGGAATGAATAAAACAGGGATGGAAATGAAGGTAGACGTATGCCCCACCAATAAGACAACATCAACCAATGCGAATTCTGAAAATACCTCGTATTGACTTGACTGGTCGTGAGCCAAATTTGGAGCAAAAAACTATGGGTGGTCAGACTAAGAGAAGGGCCGAGATATGTAAACAAGATTCCAGTTTCAAATTGACACTTGGAGATGTTTTCACATGAAATTTAGGAGATTTCAGTGTTGTGAATGTACTTTGTTGTATCATGTAAGTGGATAGGAAGAGTTTTGTGTGTCACTCAGAAGCATTAGAAGTAAGAATGAGAAAGTACACTAAAGTATACAATGTACTCTGGAGAAAGAATGGGAGGGGGTTAAAGGTCACTGACTGATAATAACTGGTTCTGAATAATGAATGAATAAGTCACAAAACACAAAATTTGATTATGATTATGCACTCTCAACAAAGGAATATAGATTCCCCTCTCAATCTCATTCTGTCTCTCTCTCCCTCTCTTACTCCCTGCCTCTCCTTTGGTTATGTCTGTACCTATTTATATTTCTCCCTTGATGTATTTCTCTCTACCTTCTTGATTGTTAATTAAATAATCCCTGTAAAAAAAAAAATGTAGAAAATCAAGGTAAACAGAGGAAGCGTAGGGTTTAGATGAAATAAGCATGGTAGATAGGGTTCTAAGACAACCGCTCCTGTGTATGGTTAAGATGAAATGCTTGTCAGAATTCCTAACAGAGACCCAGATCCTGACACTACACCTAACCTTAACCCTAAACCTAAACATAACCTGATTGCAATTCTATCCCTTACCCTATAATCTTGACAAAATAAAGCCCATCGCAATAGTTGCTGTGGCTAATATCAGAGCAACAGGTATTTGGATGTTTTTACTATTGGTAATAATGTGATAATTGTATATAGATACGGGTATTCTAACATAAAACCAAATTGCAATGCTATCCCTAACCCTATACATTTGACAAAACAAAGCCTATGGCAATTGTTGCCGTAGCTAATGTCAGAAAGCACTGTTACTTGGATGATTTTGCTAATATTAATAATTGTAAATAAATAATCTTGAATTGTGTATTTTGTTTTTACAGTATCAGAGTAGCAGCGGCGGTATGTCGGCAGGTCAGGACCCTCATAGTCTTCCTCCCATGACGAATTTCAGGCCAGGTACCACAAACACTGCCCCATACACCTCATCACCGCCCCTCAACGGCACAGAAACAGTCATGTGTAAGTAGCACCAAACAAACCCAACGTTGAGTGATTTCAAGTTGGGTGTCAATGTTAGTGTTAGTGTTTAGAGCAGTCAAGAGCTCTTAAATCGAGCTTAAATTTTGCTGATGAAATTAAGAGCCTGATATCGATATCAATATCGATAGCTTAATACCAACACCGAACTGGAAATCAACATTTGCTTAATCCTTAGGAGCTAGTGTTAGTGAATAGGACATTTGTACATAAAGTATTAACACCAGCCACAAAGGTCGGTTCAGCAGACGACAATTTTGCAAAATTGACAACACTAGCTACCGGAAGTAGATGATATTCAGAGGTCAAAGCCTTAACACCAGCCCTAAACACCAAACTTGAAATCACTTGTTGTCTTAGTAGGTCTGTCCTCATCGGCCCGAAGTTGCAAGTTAACCCGCTATTTTAACTAGCCCGATCTCAAATTAGCCAGCTAATTTGCGTCTTCATCAGCCCGCAGTTGTAATTAGCGGGCTATTTGGTCGAGAAAATAGCCAAAGAAACCTTGGTCTTGTTTCCATAACAGCTAACTATTTGGGAAATAGCTGGTTAATTTGCGTCCGTCCGATCTACTTTGTGATGAGCGTATTGGTCTGGTGAAGACCCAATTCCGAGCTTCGGGAAAATATCCCTAGTCTAAAAATAGCGGGTTATTTTGCAGCTTCGGTCTAATGAAGCAGGCCTATTGATTATACTTCTTATAACTGATGGATATCACGTATCTGTCTAAGGCTACTTGGGAGGATCGTGTGAGAACTTCTGCATCTTGGAATTATCATCCTTTCATAGATTGATAAATGGAAGATTTGTTATTCAATTGTAAGACATGAAACACAATCATATTTAAGTGTTATGAACAGGAAAAAAAAGATATTGAATATTTTTCTCAAAAAATCAAGTTTAGTTGATGAAAGAGAAACTTTGTAGACAGTCGAACATACACATGTGTCTGCTTGATAATTAGTTCTCTCACATCTGATTGTTTGAATGCTGATTAAAAGTATTACAATTAATATTAGTGCTTGCAGAAAAATTACCCTATAATTATATTCTAGAATATCCTGTAATTTCTTGATTTTGAATTGTTTCATAATAATCATTTATTTGTGTTCTTTGCTTTTAATGTTACAGCGAGTAGTAGAGGGAACGGCACAAATAACTCATCAGGTTCCAGCTCACATACAGGAGCTGCACTTGGCAAAGCCCTAGCATCTGTAAGTACAATAGTGGCTGGATGAGATGAGATGATGGTGATTATTTGAAGCCTGGTGATGGATGATAGTTATGATGATAGTTATGATGATGATGATTATGATGAGGAGGAGGAAAAGGAGGATGAGGCTATTGGGAGCCATGATAACAGATTCTTGAATTGGATGAGTGAGAGTGGTGGCAATCCTGCACCCTCAAGTTAAACCCAGAGCTGGAACTCTCGGTACAAGAAACACAGACACAATCCCTTGAGTGGATGTTGGTCACAAGTTAAATCTGTCTGCTGCCATCTAGTGGCCAAAACAATCCAACACTTATGTGCCTGAGCAATGGTGATAAAGAGAAAAAGAGAGAGAGGATAGTGATGTACAATGCATGCACTCTATTTGGGATGATATTTATTTTCTTGAACCAGTTTGGATTGTAGGATAATCATACAGAGAGGAATGTATGTTAGCTTAGGCAGGTTATGTAAATACTGATGCATCAGAAAGCTATTGAAATCTTTATACATTGAGGCCTATACCAAACTTTTCTCAGTCTGACTATTTTTTCTCGCCTCCTTGTTTCACTGTCTATCTGTTGACTGTCTCTTCCCTTCTCTCTCTCTCTCTCTCTCTCTCTCTCTCTCTCTCTCTCTCTCTCTCTCACACTGTCCCACATCCTCTACCAAAACTGTATTTGAAAGGTAACTCAATGAATGTTACCCTACATTCATGTACAGGATTATGAGGGTTAAGTCTTACAATGTACAGGATCTAGAAGGTGACCTTTAAACTCTAATGGAATAACCATCCTCCATGTCCGCCAAGTTCGTACTCTGAGCTCATCATTTCCAACAGCCCGGACTCCCTTGGGGAATATAACCATAGTCAGGGTGTCTTGGTAAGGTTTGGGGGGTAGTCGTCTCTAGGGCTTGGGGCATCCAGGCTAACGGGAGAAGGGGGACAAATTTAATTGCTGAGGGAAAAAATAAAGATTCTCACCGTTTCCCGTGGTCTTTTGTTAGACTTTAATTTGGACTATCTCCAAAAGATTGGTCTCACAAAACCGCGCTCATACTGCCATGATTCACGCTGGATATTCGAGATCGATCATAAGGCCCCTACATAGGACCTACACTGTTATAGGGTACTTTTGAAAAGTATATGGAAGAAAAACATCTCATATTACTGATTGAATTGCAGGTCATCATGACTGGCCTGGTATGATGATTAGTTTAATTGAATACCATGAAATGTGAAATTTACATGAGCGTATAATTGGCCTGCTTTTGGGTTTTTGTCTCGGCAGAACCCGTAGCCCAAACAAGAAGTCCCTGCTTTTGGCATTGTCCTATTTCCTTCATGTTACAATATCATCAATAACCAGAAGGGGAGAAAAACAGGATCATCAAGAAATAATAAGTTGCTCGATTGGCTAATTGAGAAAAATATTCAGAAACTTGAGTTCCATCAGCCCGGCAATTTACTGATTTACGAGCGCTAGCGCCACCAGAATAAACATGGTAATAATTCTGAAATCCCTTTGAGGATGCGATGTGTACTTTTCTCATATCACTCCCATACATATTTGTCTATCCTGGCAAACTGGATTTCTTATCAAGGAAAAAAAGGAAGAATAATCTCATGATATTGTGGATCAATCTCAACTCAACGAAAATTATAAAATAATGCAAATTTATAAGAAATAGTTTGATACCCCCAGAAGAATTGATATGCAGCTGTGTTGGAAATATATCATGAAATACCATCGTAGCGATTATTTTGATTTAAACACTGAAAGTCTCAAGGCCTGTTTTCAAAGACTATTTTGTACTTGCTCTTCATTCATTGGAAAACAGCAACATGTGGAAAAGTTATTACAGGCAGCCCTTTTTTCCCCCTCCCATCTTTATCCTCTCTTTCCTTCTACCCTTTTTTTTTATTTGGTCATTAACATCTTACTCCCTGGTTATAATGTAATAGAAATATGGGAGACTTTAATTGGACACTTCCATTACCTCCATGGGGGTGAACAAAATCAAGAAAGCGGGATGGTATTTTGCATGCCCGCAGCAGCTACTACAGGTCTTCACCGTAAATATGTTCGTAAAGATCTCATCAGAATTTTTATTTCATCAATCCTGACCTATGATATGACAACGCTACTTGTATTTTTCAGTGTTTGGATAGGATTTATACTTCAAAGAAATGAAAGCAAAATTATTAGAAGTAATTGAAATTCTGCTATTCCTTACTCTCCTATTTATGTAGGCTTATTGATCACTGTAATATCCCAATAATTCTGTTGTCACTGACAGTTTGAATATTTCATAAAAGATTTCTCTTTCAGGGATGTACGGTAAATTTGACAGTCTAGTGTACTCTGTCGGAGTGATGATTCAGATTTTCTTGTCAAAAGTTTTGTGTTATATGTCAAAGTATGAATTTGATTTTCAAAACTACAGGTCGTACTAGACTTCACTGACCCCTACTTTAAATTGGGAAACCTTTATACCAGAATTTGACTTTATTTCATTAATATTTTACTGGGTATGTGATGATAGCTTTATTCAACATGCATAATTTTTTGTTGCTTCATTAGAAGATTGCATACATCTAAATAAGTGTCACTTGATCTCATTCCTTGATCTATGTTGTGCACATTGTTGCGAGTGTGATAGAGCTCACGGTGCAGTGTGCAGCTTTAAAAGAAAGAGGGTAGACTGTGAGTCTAGCATGAATCATGATGTGCCCCTTTAATAATAAGAGTATAGACTATGTAGTCCCATCCATATTGGTTTGTCGTGGCTGTGAAATGTCAAGGCGTCAGGCCTTGTCAGCTGACAACCCATTGACTGATAAGTAGCAGCCAAGATTTTGACAGAATGCTGCTAAACCATGGCATTCCAACAGGAGATCCACTCCACTTGGGAATCGTATGTTACATATCAGAGACCCTACTCAATAAATGACCCATCCGTTGAAAGCGATTGTTATGGTTCTTGAATTAAACCAAGGGATATTATTGACAAAGAGATAGGAACATGAATTTGAAGATACGCTTGAATGACATTACTTCATAACTTTTTCAGTTAGGCTGAACAGTAACAAATATGTTCATGATATTGCCTAATATTTAGTCCATGTAAATACTTTGTTTTCCTTTTCGTTATCCCTTTTTTCCATTTATGGTATACTATTTTTCCCCTAATGCATTTGTCTCTTGCCCTCTCCCTGTCACTTTTCACAAAATAACATTTCACAAATGTATGGTGATAAAAAGTAGGGTTTTATGAGGGCATTACATATTTGCTTTTAAAGAAATTTTAAGAACGAAAGCTACGCAGGACATTTTGTCTGGCGTATGATTGGGTACTTGGTCTTGAAGCAGCAGCAACATGGTTTGTCCCTGCGGACAGTGTCTTTGAAGAGGAAGTATGATGGAGACTGTGAGTCCCACGTTTGTCTCTTTGATCACTTTATAGTCTAGTAATCAGGAAAACATCCAAGGACAGACCTCAACTCACCAGCAAGAGGAAGGCACCGGTTTGTTCTTTTTCTGCTCAATTTACTTCCATGACATTTTTACCTTCCTTTTCGAATCGAGATTAAAGATAACCATCAACCCTTATCTGATTTCTTCTTTTCCTCCAGGAAAGTCTAATCCTGTGTCATAATTTTACTTGTTAATTGCAATCATTTTTTCTTCTTTTCTAACAACTTGTAACAGTTTTCCCAGCAGAGAGGTGAAAGATTCATAAAGATATTAAACTCTTTTGGCGGCAGCCTCATAAAAATATAATTGATTTAAAATCAGTTTTGGTGATGTATTGATCTGGTTGATTGCCAATTTGAAAAGAAATTTGATGTGTATTTCACAAGAAGATTGGAAATATAAATCTCCAGATTAGGCAATTAGAATCTTCCTGTACATTAAAGTATTTCCTAAACACAGAAGATTTGTATCTAAGTTCATATTGATTAAAGGTGTTATGAATATGTTTCCTCGTATGAATTACAAGTGGGAAAGGGTAAGAATAACATTAAGAAATCGTAGCAAAAATGTCTTAGTTCCTTATGCTTATCCAAATCTTTATCAAAACGAATTAATGAAGTACTTTTTCCTTTTTTGCATTGTCATTACATCATGTTTTGAGAAGGACATTTGTCAGGAAGTAAGGTGATTTAATGACTTGGTATTATTACTAGTCTCAGGATTGTAGTTTCCTTTCCCATTTTCTCGGAAAACAATTTCATAATCTATACAACGAGTTTGAATGTCCAGTGGTCATTAGTGAGGCAGTGTATGTTTATATGGTTAATAGCCTCACTTGTAGTATTTCATTCTATATATAAGGAGAAGGGGGGGCATGGAGTAGTTTGTCAAAAAAATAATTGAGGGCAATTTTAAAAGAAGAATAGATTTTGCTGTTGAATCCAGTAATTTAATGAAATAAAAGTCATTAACATCATTTTTTTGTTCTTTGGAGCCATTTTCTCCCCATTGATATTGGTCCTTTTCAGAGGTTTTAGAGCCAATTGCCACATCACCCTTGTTTTGTTCTCTTTGCTCACTTGTCATACAATATATAATTGAAACAGGAGCTTTGTAAGATAAATAAGAATGCTAAAAAATGGAGGATTTCTAGGATGTAACACTCTCCATGTAAAACTCTGACTATGACATAGTTGTGCTTGGAGCCAGTGGCCCTCATTGACAAGCTGTGGGTCAGGTTGCACAGAGCAGTACATTGTAGTGTGAAAGAGGTTCTTGCTTCTGAAGTCAGTCCCACTCAGCCATGGAACTAAACCCATCAAAGCCTAGCTGAAGATTTAAACTTAAATTATCAATCACATTAAATTCACACTAAAGTAAATTCACAATAAATGTGGGTTGCTCAGTGTAGTCTATGGTACAAGTATCTTGTAGTGTGAAAAAGGTTCTTGTGTCTGAAGTTAGTCACCACTCGGCCATAGAACTAAACCCATCAAAGCCTAGCTGAAGATTCAAACTTAAA